AATGCTGATGCATCTACCGCGCAATTAGTGTTTTAATCGCAAACGCCGAGACAACTCGGGGGGTGTACCACGCTTGTCAAATCATTTAAAAATGCAGATTGCGGCGCGGGCGTCATGACCTAAGAACTTGGCAGTCAGCTTAATTCTAAGGGCGTTTATTCGCTTACCTCGCTTGTCGACCGACCTTGTTAGTAACACTTCTAATGTCTCGGTGCGAAACACTCGTACCCCGAGAACCATTAACTAGTAAAGTTGCGATGTGCCGAGCAGCACGGTGCACTGAGGGCGCTTAGGCACATTTTCCACCGAGAAATACTCGAATTTGGCCGCGATCCAAACCCGGGGACCGACTGGTTATGCGCCTATCGTGCATTTCCGGCTTATCTCGCATCAATTAAGGTGAGTACGTCACGCACACGGGACACTACCGGACGTTTCAGGCGATAAAGATAATATCGCGGATATATTAGAGATATTAACCTATGCACTTATCGACTGTGGAATTCGCAGAATCTCATTAAATATTTTTACGGCAATAACTCTGTATGATAAATGTGCATATTCATATGTACATCATATCATTTTTCGATGAATCGTTAAAATTGTATAATGTCGCTTGACTTGATCATTGTTTAAATGTTATTATTAAGATATACATATGTCTCTTTTTTTAATATTCTATATGTATATTGTTCTTGATATTCAGACAATTTAATTCAGGGGAAATTGGATTATCTTATCATTTCTCGATGAACCATTAGAGTTGTATAATGTCGCCTGACGTCACTGTTTAAATGTTATTATTAAGATATGCATATTTCTCTTTTTTTAGTAATCTATATATTGTTCTTGATATTCAGACAATTAATTCAATTCAGGGAAAATTGGATTATCTTATCATTTCTCGATGATTCGTTAGAGTTGTATAATGTCGCTTGACATCATTGTTTAAATGTTATGATTAAGATATACGTAAATCTCTTTTTTAATACTAGAAATGACAAAACGCACACTTCGCGCGCGCAGTTTATATAGTTAAGCATTGTATATTTTTAAAAATTTGTATACATGCAAAGAAGTAATTGTATGCATAACGTTAATTTAAAATAAAAAGTAATTTATTACTCACTGATAACAATTCGCAACAGCAGAGTTGTACATCGCTAACTTGTATATGGTAAACTGTAAGAATACAAATATATATGATTATTATATATCAATTATGTAAAATCGAAATGATTGTTTTAAATATACTTTATATTTTATATTTTTAAAAACAGGTATTTATTAAAATAATTATATAGAATACTGAAAAAGTCTTCCATTTAAATATAAACTCACAAACTTTTATACGTATGGTTTTGTCTCTAACGCTTATTCGAATCCTCGTTCGAATCATTTGAATATATAAAATAAAAACTCGGAACAGATGCTTTACTTCGCACAAGTAACAGATAAGATAAAAATGTATGACACTTACCTTACGATTTTTCTGCCGTTGCCCGATGCCTCCTTGGCCTCGTCCTCCTCTCAGATTTCCTTGTTGCACTTACACAACACTCACTCGCAAAAATCATCGATCGCGCGAAATTTCCGGCACTCCCATACGCGATGTGAAATACCGCGAAACGCACGAAATATTATTAACAATTATCGCGTGACTTTCTGTCATACAAATTACTCAAACTAGCAACTTGCACTTTTGATTCGAAAGCATGGATAAATCACTTTTGAATTGTCGAAGAACGACAGAGCGAATTACAGCGTGAACGCCGAAGTCGCACAAATTTCTTTCTTTTCCCGAAAATGGATTAGATTACACGAAATCAATAAATAATTAAAAGCGCGGTGCGTAAACGAAATGTAACCGCGACAAAGTACCACGGTTTACGTTCATATTTTAGATGAGTTAGTCTCGTGAAATATCTAGGTATATGTTGATAAAGAACCGTCGCCTCAATATACAATTCGTTTCTCTTTGCGAGTTGTAGAAACTTAATAGTTAATCAAGGAACGTTACTTGTTACTGATAAAAGTGTACAAATCAATAGCGTTTTATCCACATATTTATCGTGATCGAGTCTTGGAAACCGATAACGCAAAAGTAATAACACGCACGGAGCAACTCGCGCCACTGCTTGCCGGCCCGACGTTCGGCGAGCGAGTGAGAGCGCAAGCGACCTTCGAGTACACGATGGCACGCAAAAACATTGTACGTCACCGCGCCGAGAGACAAACAACAAAAAAACGTTGAGAATTCGTTGTCCCGCCTACGTAATGGAAAATTCCGTACTTAATATTTTACATTAGTTTGTTCCGTGACCGTTACTATGTTTTGTGTATTATTTTGCGGACTTTAGTAATGATTAAATTAAGGATTAATTCTGTTCAATCGAAAATATGTTTCGAAACAAAAATCGTTGTTACTTAAATTCTAACTATTGAGATTACAGATTTTACCTCAATAGTTGGTGTATACAAATGTATATTTCTAAATTGTAAATCTTCATTTACTACGAATCTAAAAGAGAAGTAAAGCACACCGCGCTTCGAGAAAACTAATCGGCATCGCGGAAAAGAGGCCTCAACTGTTCGGTATTAACGACATTCGCGCTATTAATATCTCTTTTTTAGAAAGGGATTTTATATATTGTTCTTTATATTCAGACAATTAATTCAATTCAGGGGAAATTGGGTTATCGTATCATTTCTCGATGAATCGTTAGAGATGTACAATGTCGCTTGACGTCATTGTTTAAATGTTATTATTAAGATATACATACGTATATCTCTTTTTTAATATTCTATATATTGTTCTTTATATTTGGGCAATTGATTCAATAAATTCAGGGGAAATTGGACACAACTGTTTTATGTAACGCAACTTTGAGAAGTGAATGTCAAGATCGCCGTTATTGCACACTCTCTTGCTGTTGTGCAATGCTATAGTATACTAAAACATTTTTACTGGGATTCTGATAAAGTTAATCAGTAATAATAAGTAAACTGTGGCCGCGAGCGATAACGAATTGATCTTCTCCTGTTAATTTATTCATTTCACGTATATGCGAGACGATGCAGTTGCTCACAAGCACGCTGGATATTTTCGAGAACCATCGCGTTTCCATTAAAAGCCGTATACATTCAGCACGGATAACATTAACAGCGCGCCACAATAACGTTGAAATAATTCGAAATATGAAAGCGAATTATTGTTTAAAACAATTGTTTCGAATAGTAAAATATGTAGTTAAAGGTTAAAAATAGAATTTAATCCTTTGAACTAAATATTTTATATGATAACAAAAATATGAATTCTAGATAATCCCAGCGTATCTTTCGTGAATTCAATGTTTTCTAAAATATTTTTAATTAATCTTTAGAAGTTATTAAATTTACCACAAAAATAAAAGCTCTGTGTATCTTCTTCTCATATTGCGTCAGTCATCAACTTTTGAAGACAACAGTAAAATATGTGAAGAAATTATTCGTCTTACTTATCATACGAATATGTAAATATGTCATAATACAAATTTATTTCGACAGCATTGACACGGGCGAACGAATGAGAGGTATACCTGTAACGAGATGAGTTATAACGAGAAGCTACTTCTCGTATAGCAAAGCGGACTGACTGCTAATTAATCGAGTAAAAAGTGATTTTAATTACCGTAAAGATACTGTATCTAATTAACCGATGCAAAAAAAATGTGCGGCGGAAGCCCGCATACGAAAGTGCACGTCGACGATTTCACTCGATAAAACCCGCGTTTCTCAGAATTCTTAGCTCGAGAGTGCCATGCGTGCGCGAGCGCATACGTTCGTAACACGTGCACCGCGCGACCTACTCTACGTGTGCGCGACGTCGGTCGATGGATGGGCCGACGTATACACGTAACCGGGCAATCCACGTGGCGTATTCGAGTGTGACGGCCGTTCTTGCATGTAATTTATTATGTGCATAATTAGGATAACGAATAACTTAACAACTTTCCGCTCGCACAGCTAACGAGGGAGATGCGAGCGGCGAGATACGCCGGCGACGGTTCAGGAAAACCGACATTAAGAGCATTGGATTTTTAATTGACAGACTTTCGATAGTACTCGCGGTAGTAATGGCCTGGTAATTGTATCTTTAACAACGGGAAAAAAAAATGTATTACAAAATGCTTACATTATCGACATTTTCGTATTGCCGTCCGAATTTTATTCTCGCGAAAAGAATTCAGCGATATACAATACGCGTAATGTCCAAAACTAAGGTTTCGATCATCATTTGTTCATTTTAATTAATACGATCTTCATTTTTTACTTTCACTTGAATTTTACTTGACTATTTGACTTGCAAAAATTCTCGACTCTAAAGCGAAGACGAGAAAAGACAGCTCGACGGAAATTCCTAAAAGAATCCCGAAATATCGATAAATTTTTAATAAAAAAAATTTCTTTCCTCGTCTATTCAGCAAAAAAATGGAGATGCAAAATGAAACAAAACGCGCGTGCACAGCATGGAGAGTAATATTCATGAGAGTGCTCGTAAATCAAGTTCTTCCTTCGTTCCGACCTACAACTGATCGGTAGCGTAAGCCGCGTACCGCATATGTATGTACATCCACGGTAAACGGCGGACGCGCGTTTTAATGGCGAATTTAATGCGTGCGCAAGAGTGAGAAGAAGAACGGCGGCGATGACTGCGCTCGCCGCGCGCGCGAGATATCTCGCATGTTGGACCATATGCCGCTACGGATTAGGAGCGCGCATTACGTGCAAAGTGTTATTACGAGCGGCTGGAGGCGCCTTAATTAGTATTATTATCGAAATAATAATATGCGCACACGCGGGAACCCCGACACCTGGAATCCGATGTTCTCACGGGCGCCTTGTAATCGAGTAGTCGGAATAATCGGCGGGGATACTCTCTCGCTGGTAGAATATTGAAATACGATTTTAATTACTCGCCCGGCAAAACGCCCCTGTGTCGCAATTACGAAACGACGGACGATTTACGACGCCCTGGCCGCGGAAATTGTCAGATCCCGATACCACGCTTGTGTACACGCGGTTACATTTTTTTTTATTGCCCCGCGCGACGTGCGTAATAATTTTTGGGAGAACGTAAATGAGATATGCGTTAATCGGTACGCACTACTTATGTGTTATTTATATGAAAATTAAAGTCCTCTTCCATAATTTCGTGATGTTCCAAAAATGTAAAATATCTCATATTTCATCTCGTTTTTTAAGACAATCTATGATAGATAGATCTAACCATTTGTAGAGCTGTAGGGTAATATTTTCTCGTGCTACAATTCTTAACGGGTACACTTTTCATAGATCCATTAGCCTAAATTAGAATAAAATAACGAACTCACCAGTATGATGTGCCAGCGACGGAATTTAACAGCTAGGTTGACCTATAAAATATAAACATATCAAAATTACAATAACGTCCAAAATAATTAATATTTCAGAAAATATAATTGTTGCGTGCATAAAATATAGTTAACAACTATTATTTTCATAAAAGACAAATGAAATAATTAATTAATTATTTTTTCAAAAAGAATTGTTCCGCCGTCACTCGATATTTTTCTCTTACGCCTCCTCTACTCTCAAATTCCTTCGTTGAGCTCACACAACATTCAATCGTGATTAGTTAATTACGATCGCGTGTATTAATTACCAAAATATGGTAAGCAATTACTAGGGACGACATTCCCAATGTTATATGCGAGGCGCATTTCTATTAAGTATATTGTGACGGAAAAGTAACACGAAAAAACGCGATTGTACACAATCCACACGCAACCGAGCATTTCACAATTGAATATAATGAATATAACAAACGGATATCGAACAACGGAAGATTGTACCAGAGCGTTGATGTTTGTCAAATTTATGTGGTTGATGAATATTAAACTACGAAATTAATTGCTATAGTACTGTTAATTAAATATATGATATTGCTCGATTCTAGATTCATCCTGTGCCTATGACGCTTCGTTAATAATAAAAATATTTTAATAGCACCAATAATTGTATTCTAAAGTCGCAATAAATAATTAAATCAGTTTAATAAGATGAACCGGATCCGAAAATAAATCGAAATTTGCTAAAGAAATGCTTGTGTATACATATATATATATATATATATTATTAAATAATAATTTAAATGGCCAGTTCTCTGCCTCCAGTCGAAATATACTAATATTAGGTATAATCTACAATATTTCGTTAAAGGGTTATAATCTAATGAAAAAGCCAGTATCCCGGCGCGCGGAAATCTCGAAAGTCACCGCACGCCATAATGGATCGGATTATGCGAATCTTCTTCCCGATACGATAATACCCTTGCTAAATTAATTATACCGCCATTAATTAGCGTTCGTAATACCGTCAGTTACCGTCAGCTATCGTCAGGTGCGAGATAATAAATGTTTCCGACCGACGAAAAATTTTGAGAACGCCATAAATAGAAATTAACTTGAGAAAAAGGAACGCTCGTTAAATGTAAAAACAAAATAAATAATGTCGAGGCCAAAAATATAGACGAGCCAATTTAGGTAGTAAATAATATATCACAAGTCGAAAATATACGTGAACATCTATACTGATATTGCGACAAATATTATCATATGCCTCGGTGGTTGAATTGGTGAGACGCCCGGCCTAGAGTGTAGCTGAGGTAATATTTTTCGCAATAAATTTTCTGTGTTAAAAAACACGTCGCCAATCATGGTCGATTAGAAACTTGATCATTGTAATTTAATATAAACAATAATGCAAGTAATATAAAAATGACAAGTAATATAAAACTGACGTAACCATAACTAGAAATACTCCCAGCACTTTGAATGCTTAATATCTTCTAATTGTACACAAGATACAATTAAATTTCTTATGTACACAAGATGCCTTGAAATCACTTTCTATTTAATTGATTAATTTTATTTGCCTGTTTCTCCCTTCACTGCTATCTTGCCAATAGAAACTGTTACCGCGCGAAAAAATTCGTGTCCGCAATCACGATTGTTAATAAACTATTTTTCTAGAAACGAATTCCTTTCCTGAACGTAGCGAACTGACGAACCGCCTTAATTGTGACGCGACGGTTCAATCCACGCGGCGTCTTTCGATTTCATCGCGATTCGCGACGCCCCGCCCGGAAGAGGACGTGCGTGGGCGGCGGATGAGTTGCCCAGACGAAACGTGTAATGAAACGCACGTGTGCGTTCTTGTCGCGGTCGCGGTAATTGGTAGCCGTGCGAAGAGACCCCGCGCGTTCTGACTCCGTCCCGCGGATTCATTCCCGCGTGCGATGCGCGGAATACGTCTCGCGTGTAAGTTCTACCTGCCCATCGCGAATTACCGTAAACTTCGTCACGAATTACCCGCTTGATCCTTCACTACTTCTCGTTGCACGTATACGTTATACGAGTTATAAAAAAATTATATATTATTCAGCGTACCAGTTTACGACTTTGTCGTAAAATAATTTTAAATAGTGTTACGGTAGTATTGTAAATGAAGTATAACAATATAAAATAATGATTCCAATAGTAATGCAATTTCCGTTTCTTTAAATAAATATGTTTTAACTTTACTATTAATATATCAAGAAGTGTCTTATTTATTTTATATTATAAAATTCAAATTTTGTTTTTAATGATCGTTCTGTTACAGAAATAGTTCTGTCATTGTATAATGCTATTAATAGTATCGATAATACTGTTAGTCTAAAAATGATACAGAACATTGATAAATACCATAATTGAGCAGATAAACGTTCGCCTGATAGCTTCTTTTACAGATTAGAGTTATCGAGAGAAGAGAATGAGAGAGTAGAGTTCACTCGACGGTTTTTTTTCCTTTATTTTTTCACCCTCTTGCCGAAACCGTTTCAGACCGGACCGTGAAGAGGATCGGGAGGAGAGAAATTCTCATCAACGCGTTCACGGAACATCGTCCCGCGTGTGTACACAGTCACCCTGAGCAGGCTCTCTCTCTCTCTATCTCTCCCTTAAGCAGCTCTCCTTTGACCCTTAGAAATCCGGCGAACTTATTCAACGCGCGCGACGGTTCGTCTTTCCTCGGCCTTAGCAACGCTGGAAAATCCGTTTTCTGTCCGCCTTCCGTTTTACTCCCTTCTCTCTTCCCCGCTCCTCCGAGAGTGGGAGGGAACGGGAAAGAGGTCGTTAGTCAAGATAACGAATTAAGGCGGGATGAAAGGTGGACAAGACGGGAGAATCCCGGCTCTCGTCGTACCCTTCGTTCCCTTCACAAAGGCACATTACATTCGGTGCGTCGGCAAAACGTCCGATATATCTAATCGTTGGAAATCTGCATAATGGTCAGTTGGCGTGTCATGAGCGCACCTACCCTCTCCTTTCTGCCTTGCCAAACAACCGGAATTACCGGCTCTACGTATCCGCAATTACCGGCGGAATGAAAAATTCCTTTATCGATCACTATTAACGCCTTTAATCTAGCATTATTAAAAGAAACGGGGAGGACAATTTATTTTGCGTGTCCATTAACATTAAAAATTTATTGCGTCAATAACGAAACAATAACACTTTTATAACATATTGACACCGTTTTATAAATCGTCAGTAGTAAAAAAAAATAGGCGCGACGTCTATTTAATTCCTAGCATTTTTGTGCTTCAATAAATTTAGTCGAAAACTATTTTTGTTAATTGAAGTATTTTTTGAAAAATTCGAGTTTCAAAAATTTCAGTGTTATACGATTAAACCGATCATAGCTTCCATTTTCAATAAACTTTTCATCGCCCGATACCGAGATGAGAGAACACGTAAATTAATTACAAACTAATTTTAATGAAAGCATTCACTCACTCTTATCGCGACAGCTGGCTTGTTCTCAGGAATATTCTTGGCGTGGTATCTTTAGATGGTTGTGTGTGCAATATTGTCTTTCATTTTGCGCCAAGACATTTTTGATAAATGATTCGCATCCATTTCTCATACTGTACAATAAAATTTCATCGGTTCAAGAATATGTCTTCTTCATGTCTCTATTAAATAATATTGTAATGACGTAACTGTAGTGATGATACCTTTTTGAAAATTTCAGAAACATCAGAAATATTCAAAGTCATCAAAATAACAAATATTATTGCTATGATAATCGCATAATGTTTTATGCTATCGTTCAATTGTATAAAAGAGGCCTAAAACGTACATATGCCGCCACCTTTCTACTGACGGTTGAAGTTGATCGGTAGATCGGTATAATCGTAAACACTCGCCTACGTGTACATATACATACGAAAAAATAAAGATTCGTAAACTTCATTATTAATTTTAAATACTGTCTTCAAATTATTATTTTCTGAAAAATACTATAATTTTTTATACTTAAAAATTTAACTATAACTTTTCAAATTCCATTACACGAGTAGTGTAAAAGGGAGAATAGTTATGTTAATAATTACTTTATATATTTTCTAAACCTCCACAAATCGTATTAGACCTTGCATTTGCGCATAAACGCCTTTATTGACGCTTTATAATTCAAATGCAGATTTGATATTTTTATTTTTACTACAAGAAAGTAACTGCGATTCGTTACTTTTTGAGTAACTGTAACTGCAACTAGATACTTTTATAAAGTACACTTTCCCAGCCCTGATTTTATTGATCAAAACACCAAAAACACACACACACACACACGTGCATAATCATTCTATTTTCTCTCCTCCGTTCATTGAAACATGTCTCTCTATCCAGCGTCTAAATTATCACCGCGCGGGTGAGTAGAATTCGTACAATGCCAGTGTATGTGTTACGAGTGTCGATACGAGTAGCCGCGAAAAGAAAGTCGCATTGTCTCGAACGATGGAATAAGACACGCGGCCATCCGTTGCCGGGCACAATGGTGAACGATGACGGGCCATTATTCACAGCGGCGGGAAAACCGAGCTTAAAAGTTTCCGCGACCAGCGGACCGGCGAAAAACCGCCCCGAAGAATCCGATTTTCGTGCTTCGAGCGTCCTCGAAGGCACGATCCCGGAAGATCAGCTTAAATAATTACGCGAATCAATCCCGCCTCGACACAAAATCGAAGGACCGACCTCGCGGGCGCAGGCTTTCCGCCCACCGTTTCACAGCTTTTAATGGCTACAAACTGCGACTTTAAGTACCCGTCGTTATTTAACCTGCCTGACACTTCTTGTTTCACACGTATTTACGAGCGTAATTATAATGCGTATTTGAACGAGCATAAATCGCGATTTATTTAGACTTGAACGAAAACCGTACGTGCTTTACCATATTCTAAAAAATTAAGCTTCGATCCAAGAAATCTGACTTAAAATTTTAATGGTGTCATTTGTGATGAGATTTCACCCTTGCATCACGCACACACTGAAGCAACAATATCGATTAATAT